CACCTCTGGGTTGCGGGGTGTCGAGACACGGGGGCGGCGCAGTATCGAGGTGGGGAGCCCGCAGGTCCGTGCGGAGATGCTGAACATGTGGAAAGTCAGGGAGCTGGTGGACAAAGCGTGAGTACCAACCGAGATGGAGGCGCAGAGCTAACCCGCTAAGTGGCCCGTGAGCTAACCGGTGATTGAGCAGCTCTCACCGGGCAGCATCATTAACTTTTATCGCTGATGGAGGAAAGAATACGGGCCTTCAGCTGTTAGCTTTGACCACTTGGCAAACTGCCAGCCTTGTCCCATGAATTAATATTTCGTCGCGTTTTCATCGTTATCTCTTATGGCATCATTGTAAAGTGAGAATGTGTTTGTGGCTTTCAGTTAGCTAATTCGGCTATAAGCAGGTCAGGTGTTGTTATCCCTCAGAGTGCTGCTGCAGCAGACTAACAGCCTAGCTGTCCCACCCCGGTGATGCTCACCATCTCCATGTCCGCCCAGCACATTGCACACCTCCAACAGGAAGGAGGCTGATTGATAATGACGGACATATAACCGGCTAAGCATGTTGTATTCTCAACATTCACATTGTCCCGATGAGGCCCACAGCAATGTAGCATGCTGGCAAACAAACACATACTTTAGTAGGACATGTGTGCTCCTAAACACATGCATTGTGTTTTTTATGCCTCTGTGATGTAGGTTTATGAATGTAGTTATTACAGTGCAGCCATGCAGGAGGAAGAAAATCTTCTTGTACTCTTTGTTCCTGCAGCTACATGCATTGACTTTGGCTGAGTAAAACCAAAACTAACCCAAATGTGTATGTGCAACCACTAATGAGGTTTCTTCAACTCTGTTTCTGATTCAGGATATGGGGATGCCTACTGACATTTAGTTTGTGACTCTTACTGCTCTAGCTAGTGTAAAAGAGTGACATTAAGACTAATAACAATAAGTAGTACATCTTTAAACTAGGTTTGGAGTCCAAATACATCCAAATTTCTTCTGCGTAATTTTGTAAAGTTTATTTCCATCCATGTTTGTGGATTTATAACATATTTCTGCAAAGCTGCAATGCTAACTGACAGAGTTTACGGAGGATTATTATAATGTTTTGATAATTGACCCATAAGGAAGTATAAATACATTACTGCACAATATCAAGAATACATGTCATTGTGATGCTACAAGCCACAAAGTAGTGCATGCCGCAATAAGCAATAAATCAATCGCATGATAATTTCCATTTGGATGATTTATTGTTTTTCTCTCTCTACCATAACCTGGGTGGCAAAGGTTTTCAGCATGGTGCATTGGTTTTGTTTGAAGGACAGTTTTCTTTAGCTTCATAATTCATTTTATTTGTTGTTTTGTTTATTTATTTGGGGTATTTAAAATGTTGTTTATTAATCTTTTGAGAATGTGTTCTTGCATTATTATGCCATCACCATTTTATGACTTGAAAATGTTCTCAAAACAACAATATTATCATTTATTGCAATAACGTTTGGGACAATTTATCATCCAGCAGAATCAGTCATCTTGACAGGCCTACTTGCAACTGAAAATAAAGACAAAAAGTACTACGTGGAGTTAACATTAAGACCAGAGAAGGAAGAATACAGACGAGGGAGTAGATGAAGCAGCACAGGGCTTGAAATGGAGTAACAGACAACAGCTTCCATCAGCTGTTGGTTGTGGCTGGCTGAGCATGATGAATACACTCCATTATTGATCTGCCTCCATAGAACTGGCAGCAGAGGCATTTCTTCTCCAGCATATTAAGAGTCACGCTAATATAAAGCTTTCTGCTTTCTGCGATGGCTGATTATAACACAGTTAAAAGTGGCTGCTGCCTGGGATAAATCATTGATCATTGTTGGTTTTCTCTTGCTGTGAGTTTGGCAGGTTTCAGAGAACAAAGAGATGGGGAGTAAGGCAGGAAAAGAAAGGGACTGCTCACTGTGAACAAGCACTGAAAGAGAAATGACAGGAGTTATTTTAAACTGATGATTCTCGGACTAAATTGTTACCTGAATAAGCGTTGGGTATGAAGAGATTGGCTTTGTATGTACAGGAAAACAGAGAGTAGAAAGTGAAGTACAGGAACAAAGAAGACAGGAAACAGCATACCTGTGTTCACCTCCCTTTGATGTACAGACTTGCTCTTTTCCCTCTTTGTGCCTCAGAAAGCTTCTGCCTCTTTGCCCACATCTGTTATCTGATAAAGAGTTCAGCAGCACAAAGGATTTTCCAAAGTGTGTTATTCAGCGAAGCAGGATTCTGCCAGTCCTCAGACAAAACGCTAAAGCTTATTTGTGGTTTTGTGTTTTGAATGAGTTGTTGTAATAAGCTAGTAGATAATTTTTATTTGTATAGATGAAAATTGCAAGTAAAATAACATGAAATAAGTACAAATTCAGGTTTTTGCTCATTCTTCTGCTCAGTCTGTTGAAGTTTTTTTTTGCTTATCTTTCCATGTTAAGACAAATAAGATGTGATGCATACAAGTTTTATAGTCACACTGGTGATGTTAACAGGTATAAATGTTTGTGTCAACAGCACTAATGTGGTGATGAACTACTCAGAGATAGAGTCTAAGGTTAGAGAAGCTACCAACGATGACCCCTGGGGGCCCTCTGGACAGCTAATGGGAGAGATAGCCAAGTAGGTGTAACAACACACACACACACACACACACACACACACACACACACACACACACACACACACACACACACACACACACACAGGCATGAGATGTGATCTGTTTTACTCATGGATGCCAGCAGAATGACCATAAATGTGTGTGTGTTTATAGAGCTACGTTTATGTATGAGCAGTTCCCAGAGGTGATGAACATGCTGTGGACCAGGATGCTGAAGGATAATAAGAAGAACTGGAGAAGAGTGTACAAGGTAGGACTGCCACACATCGTATCTGTGTTCCCTGAAGTCTGCTCTGGGTTTATTGAAGCAGGGTTAGAGGTTTCTTTGCTTGACGTCAGGCCTACATATATGGCTTCTTCCCATGTTTTTCACGTGAGGGACCGTGACCAGGCCCAGATTCCTTCTGTCTGTATTTCATTTTTTTAGGTTGAGTTTTCTTTTTACATTTGTGTGTTGCATCCCAGGATCTTGATTGGGTCTCATGTGTCGTTGATGTTATGAATAACTTTTTTTTATTGCATTTGACGGTTTGCAGTCGGTGTTGAGCTGGTTCCCCCTGCTTGTGGTTGAGAGGTTATTTTACAATCTTTTTTGCGGGACCGCTCTGCAGTTTTATCCTGTTCCAGAAATGAAATGTTTTCTTGCATTTTGAGTTGCAGAAGGAGCAACACTGATCTAAAACCAAATTGTATCTATTATAATCTGTTCAAACATTTCTGGATTACGTCAGTTTGAAAAGCCTGATTTTCTTGTGAAGGCAATTCTGACCTTACTTCATTCTTATTACTTCAACTTTTTTTTAAACAAAACTACTACAGCAGGTGTGTCATCGTGTGTTTTGAAAAACCTGCAGAATTTCTCTCACTGGTTCTGTACGTCCATCACTTGCAGTGAAGAAGAGAAACATAATTTCATCAGCAACACGAAACGTTGCAGCTCTGTAAGCGAGGCTTCTTGCGTTACATTTTTAACCAGCTCCTGTTTTTTTATGAAATGATCACTGAGCTCAGAGGAATAATGTTGTAAAATTACTTTTTGACGGTTAGAAAAATGAAACCTCTGTCTCTCAAGTCAAGTTTGTTTGTGTAGCATATTTCAGCAACAAGGCAGTGCAAAGTGCTTCACTGCATAAAAACATAATACAGTAATAATTTATGAAACAAGCAATAAACATTACAAATGCCATCATCAGAACCATCAGGCAAATATACATCCAATATAATATTTAGCCTTGATTTAAAGGAACTCAATGTTTCAGCTTGCAGTTTTCTAGAAGTTTGTTCCAGATTTGTGGTGCATAGAATGTCATAAGGTGGGGTTGAAGTGGTGAGGAGATGACGCAGAGAACCCAGGTTATGGTGAAGATGAATTTAATGATGAATGTAGTTCACATAGTCCAAATCAGGCAGCACGGCAGGAACAACTAGCACGCAGCTAAGCACCGGTAGCAACTGACAACGAAGACTAAATCAACTGGAACTGACGTCGACACAGGACTTAACCAGTACAACTGGGAAGACGGACAGACAGACACAGACTGCAAACGTTTAACAATTGACAAGGACCCGATGAGGAACACAGACAACAGGTGGGTATAAATACACACGGGGTAATTAAGGGAATGAGACACGCCTGGGGAGCAATCAACGGGGAGCACGGGACAGAGACTCACAGGGAAACAGGAACACATTGAAAAACCCAAAAACACACAGAAAACCACGGATCATGACATAGAAGCTGAATGCTGCTTCTCCACGTTTGGTTCTGGACCACCAACCTGCCTGTTTGAGCAGTTTGAATTTCTGCACGCTTCTGCGTGGCTGCAAGTCTCAGTTTGTCTTTTCTTTCTAACACACTGCAGAGTCCATCAACTTCAAGGCTAAATTCATTGTATGTATTAATTGTATCTTAGCAAAGAGAAACTGCTGAAATGTTTTAGCAAGCAGTTTAAAGGATCAAAGATAAAGCATTACGACTTATGAAGTGAAAAAAAGTAAAACATTTTTTTTACACACCTGAGCAGTGGCAGCCAAAATCAGCCAAGCCGTGAATCTGGATTGCTTCTCTCTTCGTCTTTCTAATATCCGCGTCTCTCCTCCAGGCCTTACTCTTGCTTGCCTACCTGATCAGGAACGGCTCTGAGAGAGTCGTCACCAGCGCCAGAGAACACATCTATGACCTGCGATCTCTAGAAAACTATCATTTTATCGGTGAGTCTCTCTCTTTGCAATTGTTGAAAATTCAATACTAGCATTTATCCAAGCATTTGGATTAAGATATTTCAAGGTTTCCCCCAGAATACTCGGTAAGCCTGGTGGTTGGGCGCTAGGGCGGTCTTTCATCCAGTGACTTGTGTTTTAGAGTTAAAAAATGTTTAAAGTTAACAGGAAATTTGAAAATCCATCCATCGTCTGTCCCTAGTGGGGTCAGGAAGGTTGCTGGTGCCTCTCCAGCGAATGTTTCAGGCGAGAGGTGGGGTACAGCCTGGACAGGTTGCCAGTCTCTTGCAGGGCAACACAGAGACCAATTAACCTGACAGTCATGTTTTTGGACTGTGGGAGGAAGCCAGAGTACCCAGAGAGAACCCACCATGCACAGGGAGAACATGCAAACTCCATGCAGAAAGACCCCAGACCGGGAATCAAACCCAGAACCTTCTTGCTGCAAGGCAACAGCTCTACCAACTGCACCACTGTGCAGCGCCGACATTTGAAAATATCACTTGATAATTATGTTATTGACAAATTGGGAGATTAATACCTGAAAACCAACTATAAAGTCTTAAAAATTGCAAACATTTTAAAAAGACTTAAAAAATAAGCAGTTCTTAGCCTGGTGGGGGCACAAGTAGGCTTTTTTTTCTGAGGGAAACCCTGTGTTTTGTCTTTGAATAAAGAGCAATAAATGGTTTTATAGGTTTGTGTCTGTGACTGTATCTGTTGGGTTCATCTGCAGATGAGAATGGGAAGGATCAAGGAATAAACGTGCGTCAGAAGGTGAAGGAGATGGTGGAGTTCATCCAGGATGATGACAGACTCAGAGAGGAGAGAAAGAAAGCAAAGAAGAACAAGGATAAATATATTGGAGTCTCCTCTGACAGTATGGGCGGTGGAGGTGGCAGCTTTAAGAACTGTAAGTAGCTCTCAGCGTTCGTCTGACGGCTTGAGTGGATTAAAATGAAAATACAATCCCTCCTGGAGAACCTAGGAAATATATTTTCTACAGCAAATGTAGCATGCTTTAAATCTCTGAAGGCGTAATACTATAAGCGAGTAAATTACTGCACCGGTTTATTATTTTCAAATATAAAATTAGGTTGGTAACTGCTAAAAATGGAAAATCATTGAATAATGTTTCTGACCTTTTGTTTTCTGCAAAGGTATTTTCCATTACCTATAACATTTAAGGCTTCAGAGACAAACTTGGAGAAAATATTTAATCACTTTCTGCAGCTCTGACCTCTTTATTGCTGTTATATTTTAAATTATTTATGGTATAAAAAATATGTAGTTAAAATAAGGGTTTAAACGGCCAGATTTGTTTATGCTGAATCTCTGTTTTTGATCTTTTTTTCTTCCAGCGAACGAATTGGATCGTAATAAGTGGGATGAGGACTGGGACAAGAGCAGAGGAGCTTTCCCTTTCAGCGAGAAGCTCGGAGAGATCAGTGACAAGATAGGCAGCACCATCGACGACACACTGAACAAGTTCAGAAAGAAGGAGCGAGACGACTCGCCTGACCGGATCAGGTAAACCGACACGCCACTCCGACAGCAGGAACGATCATGAGTCATATTCAAATTATTTCCTGCATGTGGATCCACTGTGGATCAACTTAAAATCAAAAATATATGGGGTGGAAAAACGTTGCAAAATTCAAACTAGCAGTTAACTGAAGTAAATTTTAATTCAGTTTAAGCATTTAGTTTTCTGCAGCTCACCTGTCCCTGCAGACTTTTTCTGAGGATCAAAAAGATCTCATTGTTCCAGCGTATCAGTCAGGAGAAGGATCTAAAACAGTGCACAGCATTGTACTTAGTATAAATTGCAACAAAAATGTTAGATTTCTTCAACATTAATACAAAGACAATATAAAAACTAGTAAAGGAGTTCAATAGGCCTACAGTAACACTGAAGGAGCAATATTATAATATGTTGCACTTATTATATATCTGGGCTGATAAGTAGGATCACAACACAGACACCAGACTTGGCTAAAATCCTTCAAACCCTGGTAGGATGATATGTTGTGTTTTACTAAAAGTGCATAAACCATGCTGCACAACAGACGTACCAATATATTTAATCTCTGTTTTAAGGAGATTAATTACAGAGAAAACCAGTTAAACAGAGATCCGAACCCTTCAGACTTCCACAAAGACACAGCAGATCAACCTTTGCATAATCCCGTGAGCTCTGATGCGTCCCTTATCTGGTTGCCATAGTGACAACGAGGAGGAGAGAGGATCAAGAAACGGGAGGCAGGAGACGATCGAATTTAAAGACGAGGAGGAAACGGTCACGACGAAGAGCATCCAGATCACACAAGCGACAGAAACCACGACCACCACCACCACGAGGAAACGCAGCGGGGCGGCGAGCAGCAAGACGCTGGACCTGGGGGCTGCGGCGCACTACACCGGAGACAAGAGCCCAGAGGAAAAGGTACACACCGTTTCTACGGTGACAGTCATCTTCACCTTTGAAGGTTTAATTGCTGCGTCTTACTCCTCAGTCGTCGGCGAAGCAGACTTCCAGCAGTGGACTGGCTGACCTGCTGGTGATTGACCCTTCAAACAACGAGAGCACAGCGGCAGGTAAACACACACACATTCCTCTCCTACGCTGTCCAAACACACTTCTGTCATGATCCGTGTTTCTGTGTATTTATTTTAAGGTATTTCTGTGTTCAGTTTCTGTCCTGAGTCTCTGTTGTTTCTGCGTCTTCCCTGTTGATTGCTTCCCAGGTGTGTCTCATTCCTTGATTAGCCTCTCTGTGTATTTAGTCCCACCTGTTGTTTTTGTCTCTTGTCGGATCCTCGTATGTCATTTGTCGTCTGTCTGCCTGCCATCACAGTCGTACTGTAAAGTCCTGTGTTAGTTATCTCTCTTATTCAGTCCTCAGTTTTTCAGTCGCTACCGGTGTTTAGCTGTGTGCTATTGTCTCTGCCGTGCTGCCTGATCTGGACTGTTTTGAGCCACATTCATTATTAAATTCATCATCTTCATCACAACCTGGGTCGTCGGCGTTCTCTCTCACCACCACAAACCTGTGGTAAGTTTGTGTTTGTCTTCACTCACCCAGCAGGGACTTCAGACCTCATAGGGGGCTTTGCTGACTTCTCCTCACCTGCAGCCTCTGCCAGCCTCCCCACCTCCACTGGTAAACGCCTCCCCTCACTGCTCCTTTAAGACCTTCATCATGCCCTCAAAATAAAGAGGATTAGTTCACAATCACACATTTTAAGACATCAAATACAAATTTAAGAAATATATCAGTTTATGCAGGTTGTCTACCTGTGTCTAAGTGAATCCATTAGGCTTAGAGACAAGCACAGTCTGAGTGAGTATTGAATTTAATCCAAGGATTTCCCAGGTCTGGATATAAATAGAAAATTTACAGACATTATTCCCTATTCTGTTGTCTGAATGTTGTTTCTGCCTTATTCTTTTTTTAATTTTCCTTCCTTTCATCTTTATTACAGTTAATTATTGATGTTTTTACCTGTGAGAGGTCAAATTACTTCGTATTACTCAGAGGTGGGCAGAGAACCCAAAAATTACACTCAAGTAAGAGTAGCAATACTTCAATATATTTTTTACTCAAGTAAAAAGTAGCCTTCCAAGAAATTACTCAACTAAAAGTAGAAAAGTATTTAGTAAAAGTCTACTGAAGTACTGAGTAACTGATCAAATTATCAATAATTTCTAATTTAAAAATTACATCATCAGATAAAACAAAATGTAAAGTTAAGTGGAAATTTTGGTATTTTAAGGAACAAAATTAAAATAATTCATATAAGTAACAAAAAGTAACAAACCGAAATCAGTTTTTTTTAATAAAAAACGTATGAAACTTTAACAAAACTGCAGCTGTGTGTCTGTGTCTGGTGAATTTTTGGTTAAAACATGTTTGTTTTTCATTCAGCGGTTAGAGAATCCAGAAATTTTACTCAAGTAAGAGAAGCGACTCAAGTAAAAGTAAAAAGTACAGCGTAGTAAAAATACTCCTAAAAGTGCATTTTTTCAAAAACGCTATTCAAGTAAATGTAATTGAGTAAAAGTAACCAGTTACTACCCTGCTCTGGTATTACTTAACCATTACTTTTTTTTTTGACCAGCTGCTGCCTCTTCCAATGGAAACGGGGACTTTGGGGACTGGAGCTCCTTTTCAGGAAATCCTCCCGCTCCATCTAGCTCCAGTCCTTCGCAGCCGGTTACCGACCCGTTTGGCAGCGGACCGTCACCGGCGCCGGCTTCAAACCCGTCCTCTGCCCCCCCATCTGCTGAGCTGTTAGACCTGATGAGCGGAGTCAGCCATCAGCCAACCAATCCACACACGACGCTCAGCGCTTCCCAGAGCATGACCTTCTCTCTTGGCGGGGTGACGCCGGGAGGATCCGTTGCCATGCCTACGATGCCACACTCCCGCTCTCAACAGGTATCAAAGGAAATATGAATTTGTTAAGCATTTTGAAAAAATGTTACATTATTGAGGGCTGATATTGTTGAGAAAAATAGTCTAACGTATTTTCCGCACTATAGGGCGCACTGTTACATAATTATCTATTTTTGATCTTTTTCATATATAAACCGCACCAGACTACAAGGCGCATTAAACGAAACAAAACAGTCAGATAAGTCAGTCAGTCAAAGCACATTGCGTATTACTCTGCAACGCTCCTGACGACGGCAGCCGTAATGTAAAGTAAAACGTTTTGACAGAGTGCCCTCAGCACCGTGTGCCACACAAAATCGCTTCAAGGTCAGTAAGCACAGCCAAAATTAATCCACATTAATTCACGAGAGGGGCCTGTTTTACTCCACAATATGTAAGGCGCACCTTTATTTTAGATAAAATTAAGTGCACCTTGTAGATTATTCTAGACCTAAAATTTAGAATTAGGACTTGTATTGGCAAAAGGTATTTACTCAAAACATTTGCTGCTACACAGTATCATTTTGTTGCTGCACCTCTAACCTCATCTCTCACCTTTTAATAAAAACCATAACCCAGGAATAAGTCAGACAAATTTGTTTCAGAATTTGGTGGGCATGGTGTCCCAGCAGCCAATGGGATCGCAGCAAAAGGCTGGAATTGGAAGTCAGGGGTCGTTAGGGTCAACTTGGTCCGACCCGTCCGTCAATATCAGCCTGGACTTCCTGTCAGCCGGACTCAACCACACAAAGACACCACCAACTCTGAACAATATAATACAGCAACAAGGTATCGTCCTTTACTGAGCTTTTTATCTGTTAAACACAAACAAATTGGACTTTCTGAAACTTATTATAGTGCTTTGCAAAAGTTTTTATACACCTTGAACCTTTTCACATGTTGAAAACCTCAAACTTCAGGGTATTTTATTGGGATTTTAACTTTGTGATTAATTAACATAATGTAGCACATAATGGTAAAGTTAGACACATCAAAATAAATTCTTCTGGACGATAAACTGTCCCAGAAGTTATTGCGACAAATGATGAAATTGTTATTTTTAAACAATGTCCAAGTACTTTTAGAGCGTTCTCGTTTCTTGCTTATTTTTATTGGTCTGTCTCACAAAATACATACACTGCTCAAAAAAATAAAGGGAACACTCAAATAACACATCCTAGATCTGAATGAATGAAATATTCTCATTGAATACTTTGTTCTGTACAAAGTTGAATGTGCTGACAACAAAATCACACAAAAATCATCAATGGAAATCAAATTTGTTAACCAATGGAGGCCTGGATTTGGAGCCACACACAAAATTAAAGTGAAATGTTCCCTTTATTTTTTTGAGCAGTATATATTTTGTGGTTGTGCCATGTTCAAATATGAAAAGGGTCAAGATGTATGAATACTTTTGCAAGGCACTGGATTACCTCTGTAAGCTTTTCAAAATATTCAAAGGAAATATACACATATACACACAGTAAACCATAAACAACGTGGAATCAGATTTGTAAATGTGTGTGTGTGTGCTTGGGTTTGTGTGTGTGCGCGTGCGTGTGTGTGTGTGTGTGTGTGTTTTTGTGCAGGAGTGCCTCCGGTCAGCCTGTTGGCTCAGAGTTTTGGAGGACTAACCCTCAGCTCACCACCTCATGTGGCTCCCGTCAGGCCGCCAGCCAACCCCATCATAGCCGGCGGCGCCATGGCGATGGGCATGCCTGCTCCCCTGGGCATGGGCATGCCACCTTTGATGGCCACCGGCCTGCAGAGTGGAATTCCTGTGAACCCAGGGATGATGGGAATGAACATGAGCATGAATATGGGCATGGCCGCCCCGGTGATGATGGGTGGCATGGCAGGTATGGGGGTGCCAGGAGTGGGAATGGGCCTGAGCCACTCCATCAGCCCCGCCGTGGTCCCACCCAAACAAGATGCCTTCGCTAACTTTGGCAGCTTTGGGAAATGAAGGTTTGCAGTCAAGTGTGTGTGTTTGTTTGTGAATGAGTGAGTGAGCATGAATGTGTGAAACTGCGAGTAAGCGAACTGCAGAAGGACTTTGCTGTACTTGAAGACAAACCTTGCATGTTTCACTGTCTGCCTCTGGGCTTTGGTGAGCTGGCGCCGGTGACTCTTTGCCATCGGTTCCCACCGATTCGCCGCAGAAGGAAGCAGAGGTGGAGCGAACGTGTCGGTACATAACCATCATTACTTCCCTTTACTGGAAAAATCATTGTCTTCACGAGTTTTTATAAAACCATATGTTATCCTCCATCGTTTAGTTTTTTCTGCACAAAAAAATTCAGTTTAGCTAAAATGGCACTGAGGCCTTAATTTTGCATTGTACATGAGAAGGTAATTTTTTTTAAATCCAAATTTAATTATAAAATTTAAGCCATTCCATTTATATTCCGACTTTGCAAAGCCCTTTTCAGACATGAATCATTTGCTGTTATGTTTCACAACAAACAGCTTCATTCATACTGATGTGTTAATATGAGCTAGTCATGTAAGATTGGCCATCGGTGTTTGCAGGTCAAAAAGTAACAAGTCGTTTGGTGCCTACATCCATTTGTACCTGTAAACAAACCATTGTTTACCTGAGTACTCCACTTAGCTTTCACTGTAGTAAAGACATAAGTCATTAAAATCCTCGATTATTAGAAATAATTTAGTTAATTTGGATATTATCTGAAAACTTGGTGTCAAACTATATTTGGATTTATTTTTTTGCTACATTAAGACAAATTATGACCTCTGGTTTAACCAAATTAACTAATTTGGGTCATAATCGATCTCCTGTTGGTACGTATTGCTTCATTAGAGTTATGTGAACAGATTTCTTCACTGCAGGCCATGAAAATTACATATAATTGGCAGCTTTCAAAGTGGATATTTTGTACCTGGAAGGTGGATGACTCAACAACTACAAAGGTCAGAAATGGTGAAGGGCTGAAATTATCAGCACCTATAATTACTACATTCACTCCTTCACCAAGCTGAACCTGAAAAACCATTTGACTTTCTATCTTCTACATACCACTACAAAGTATTTTGGTCTAAACTACAAAAGGTATGAATTAGTGAATTATAAAGTTAATTTACAGTTTGCTCTTAACTCAGCCATAAACTAGATCAAGAAATAGTCTGAAAGCAGAAACTTTAGCAGCAGTCCCTAAGCTGTTTTAAAACCTGTGTGCTGAAGAGAAAATTATTTAGATCCTGCATCTTATTGTTGTAAAGAAAACCGCTAATTAAAATTTTAGCGATGCTTTCGATTATTAAAATGATGATGGAATCTAAAACCAGCAGGAGGATTTTTCCTGCTTGAGTTTTGCCAGATTAAAGTAAATTTCTACTGTTCCTGTCTGAAAGGGGCTTTTGAACACCCTGGACCGCCAGCAGGGGGCAGAATGAGTCTCCTTAAAAACTAGTAACCTGCATTGTGCTTGATGGATGATGGATGGGGAAATGCAAATTAACATCTGAACTCAGAGAAGCCCGTTTCCTTTTTCTCTTTTGGTTTAGTCTAACATTTTATTTTTAATCGGCTTGTTGCATTATAATATTTGGAGAAGTAGTACTGAATGATTCTTCCGTTTGACTTTCTGAATGCATTTACCACATAAAGGGCCAGTCAGTATTTTATTCAGAGTACTACTGATTATTTCTTATTTATGCAACTTGTCCACGTGACTTCACAGATCTCAGTAAACTATTCAGTGTTGCTTTCTGACTCACCTACATTCATAGCGTCTCTAACTTTTTTGCATACAAACCGTTTTTATGCATTGAGGTACAGAAGTATTTTCCTACCAACTTTGGTGGAAATAATTACTCAAAAAAATAAATAAATAAGTTGTAACTTTACTTACACGTTTACAGTGGATTCTGGGAATACCTCTAACATTGTACCTTGAGTTGGAATCATTTTTCACCTATACTTCATAACCCATTGGGTAGAGATGACGCTCCTCGGCATTTGATTCAGATTAAATATGCTGGAGTTCAATCCAAATGGTTTGGGGTGACATTTGTGTGAGAAATGGATAATGGGCGTTTGTGACTTTATGTATGGGTCTAAGTTTCTTCTGTTTGATGTACAAACACAGCTAAGCAGAGCTTCTTGTCATTTTCTGAGGCGCTGCCCTCCAAATGACCAAATCTTTATTTTGTTACTCTCAGAATTATAATTCCATAGGTTTTAGTTTAATATTTTATTAGTTGTAAGGTTATGATCAAATAAAACTGCATTTGAAGTGATTTAGTTTACTTGAATCATGTTTTTTTTTTTTCATTTTCCTTCAACACAGATCTTTTAATTTGATTGCTGTATATTTTCTGTACTTCATTCAACAATAAATTAAATTATAACATTAAACAGTTGGGTTTCATATTTTTGTTTATGTATTTTGCTTCTTATTTACATTCTTAACAGTAATTTTAACAATACTGACAAATTGAAGTAACAATAAAAAAAAAACATTTTCAAATGTTCTGTAAAATGTAAAAGACTTAAAATAGGTTGCATCACATCAAGTGTCAATCCTTATGTAATGTATTCAGTGTTTTGTAATTTGTTTTAACTTGTACATAGTTTAATTTGTTTTACTTTTGTGTAATCACGTTATGTGTTGCAGATTTCTTCCCAGATCCCTCTTGCAGATGAGATCTGGATCTCAGTGGGTTTTTACTGGTTAATTTAAGGGGAGAAAGAAAATCTGGTGAACACCATGGTGAGGTTCAAGGAGCATTCTGAGCCCTTAAAAAAGCTGATTGTAGTAGCTGAGTTTGGTAACGGATTCAAAGAGCTCTTTAATATCTGCCATTTTCACTGAATGGAAAATAACCTACAAGTGGAGAATATTCAAAACATCTACCAACATGCCCAGGTCTGACCGCCCAAGCAGGTTCACCTCAAAAGCAGAACGCAATATTTTAAAAGGAATCTCATAACACCCTAAAATTTCGTCATGGTACCTACTGCAGGCTTTTATTACTGTTGATATGAAACTGCGTGCCAATCAGAAAGAGACTGCACAAAGGTAACTCACCTATAGCTCTCATAAGTGAATCAGAAGTCATCCGCGCCACTGAACCGCCATCTTGTTAGGCAAGAGCAGCGCAAAGCATAGATGAACCATGGCTTTGTCACAAACAAAAAGTATATTGACCAATTTGCAAGAGAAAGATCCAAGAAAAAGTATCAAGAGTGTTGGAGTGAGAATAGTAGTAACATACATTTTGCTGCATGTTTTAGCTTCGTAAATAAGTCTACAAAGCTAATTTTGCTAGCTCGCCAGTAAGTACTGCAGTCAATACCACCGTATGGATATTTACAGAGTTGGAGAGAGTACTCAGAAATTGTAAAGTAACAGTTTTAATGAACTTAAAATGTTTATAAATTAGACAGGAACGTGGCTATAGCTAGTTCTAAGCTCGTAGCTTGTTTATTGTCGTCATAGCAACCCCGTATCAACTGTCATAACAGTTAGCTACCGATACCTACCACAATGACTGCTGTCAGCTATAAAGATCCCAGCAATGTGACATCACATGAGAACTATAAATAAAAAAGCAACAGCTGGTTACCATAGACACTGAATGCAGGCAGGCAGGTTGTAGCTAATCCTGCAACTTTTGGATCAAGAAATGTAACTGATGCTGCCCCTCTTTGATCCATTATGTATTTTTAATTTATAAGAAAAGACAAATTACTTCTATAAAGGGTGAAAACTAATCAGACTTGGTTTAAACATTGTTGGGTGTGGGGGTTAGATACATTTCCTTAACTTTAGCCAAGACCTTAAAAAAAAAAAACATATTTTGCGATTAAAGTTACAAGTTACTCTAGCAATGTTTGAATAACTCGCTCGCCATGGCAACTAAGTTAAAAATATTTTGTTTACATTTTCACAATTTAAAGAAAAACTAATCCAAACACTTCAAAGAGGTCACGGTTACTGCTAGGAGATCTAAACTTTCCAGACAATCTAAAAAGGAAAACGACCACAAATGCTGTCTACCAAACAGAGACCTGGATCAGGAAGGACCAGAATGTGACACTCAGTGGCTTCTTCAGCGGAAAACAAAGCAGCTACCCAGCTCCAGTTGTTTAAGGGTTTTTTTTTCTACCCAGATAACATTTTACCAGATAATATTTTAGGTGAGTAGTATTTGAAATATCTGGGTCCAGACTGAATCTTCAGTCTCCACTTCTACACACTGTTAAGAACAGAAGCTGCTCTGAGATAAGGAGGATGAAAGATTGTCATATCCGTTCTCACAAATTGTGACCATAAATGAAAACTGTTAACATAAGAAGTTCTTTCCTTTACAGTAAAAAATTCAGTATGTTGCAAATGGGAGAACTGCTGACCTCACCTTCAGGATGCCCTTCTGATCCATCTGTCAGTACAGGAGCAGACGGTCAAAACACCAGTTTTGTCATTCCACCATCAGAGATAGGTAACAATAGTAATAACAATAATATTAATGCTAATTTACATGCTAATGTGATACAGTGGATATAAGAAATGTATCTTACTCTGATTAAAATGTCAGGTTTTGTGAAGTAAAAAAGAATGATAAAGTGGTAGATGGTCATTTTTGCTAACCAATGTTTTAGGTAAAAGATGCAAAGAAGAAAAAATTCTGAAAATCCTGCTTGGACAGCTAATCTTTGTTTAAGTTGATCTGAAACTCTGTAATTGATGGTAGATGTGCGCCCTAGGAGACTAAATGTTGGCATCAATTCAGAAGGTGGTTCAACAAAGAGTTTGTTTCAGGATGTAAATAAGATTTGTTTGCTTTTTTTAGTTAAATAATACATGTCAATAAATGAGGGAAAAGTTCTGAATGATTTATGGTGCTCTAATTTTTTTTCATCACATAAACCTGCCATTTTAACACAAGTGGGATGTAATAGTGCTTATAAAATTGTGGTTGTATAATTAGCCACTGTTAGGATTGTGTGTTAGAGATTTTTTAAAGTGGATCTAACTGCATTACTGTGATTGGATGTAAATACCTAAAATCTTTTCCTCAGATTTCAAACCTAACCAGTTTATCCAAGAGAACGGACGGGTCAAACGGCCAATGAACGCTTTTCTAGTGTGGGCTCGCGTCCACAGAGAGGCCATGCAAAAAGCCTTTCCAGGAAGAACCAGCAATGACATCAGTGTTCAGCTTGGAAATGAGTGGTATAAGCTCAGTGAGGAACAGAAGAGGCCCTACTTTAAAGCAGCTGACAAGCTGAAGAAGATGCACAGACTGCACTTCCCTGGTATGAACATTACATGTATGTCCGACAGTGGATTTGAAAAGCTTATGTTAATTATTGACTGTACAATCACTTCATCTTCTAGTCAAGTATTCTGTGGAAGACATTTGATGACGTAACTTTTGATTATAACTCATGTTGGCTCTGACTGTGGTACCAGATTACGAGTATCGCCCCCGGAAGAGAAAAGACAGAAAGCAAGCTTTTGAAGGGAAATATGACCAAACATCAGGACAACAGCAGGACTCAAATATTCACTGTATTGGCTCACAAAGTATGCCTTCAGGTCAACCCAGGTTTCTGGACCCTATTCTATTTGGTCCATCTCCTGTGCCTCAACCAGTCTCCTGCAATTCCTATTTGCCCTTTAACCCCCATCATCAAGCAACCATGTACCATATGGGCCAGAGCCAGAGTTTAAGGTTCGGTGTAAAGTTTCTGATTGCCATATTTTACACATCTTGTTTTCAGTGTATTTAGATACTTGACAGTCAATAAATCACAAAGATTTAAATTTATTTTTAAAATGCTTTTATAGGCCCGGATTTGCCAGAAGCTGGATGGAGGAGGAAAACCTCGACCAAAGTTACTGGCACGATGGAGCTTTGAGGCCATTTGTCTTTGATGGTTATTCAGTGCAGCGTTATTATTCAGCTGGTTTTATCTAAGAAGTCATCATTGGCTCAACATAATTTCAGTGTTGGCTGATGTCACCTCTCACCAAGACTAAACAATGTGGAGAGTTTATAAGCCAGCCTCCAGGTGATAGCTGATTTCATGTTTTTAAATAAAATGTTCACAATACATGGTGCATACACTTTTTTATATCAACATTTCTTACTATACATGCTCAAATTTCCTGAATCTTGAATTTTTTTTCTTTTATATTTTTAAGGAGAAATACTGAAGGGTCACTGAATGACTTTAGGGCACGTCATTCAATCGTGACTCGATTTTTAAATAAAATATCTTAACTTTGAAGATAAAGGATGGATATATTTTGAAGTGCATTTTCAACCAAAGTTTCACTGGTAACTATAACTGACCTGTGCAAACGTTTAATGCTTACATTAAGATGTACGTACATTAAAATGCACAACAGAGTCAGCACTAACAGCATGAAAAATTAGCAGAACAGCCTATGTTTAAAATCCTTAGCTCCACGCTGAACAAAGATAAACTGATAAAAGAAGGCCAATAAACATTTAGCTAAAGGATCGCGAGAACATTTGTGTCCAATCGCAGAGCGCGCAGCTTGAACTGGACCGTTATGGACGGCAACGATCAACCAATAGAAACGTGTGATTACCTTTTGGGGGCGTTTCCAGGAAGAAAGCGGTTACACTTTCCTGTAATGGCGGACCAGACAGAGAGCGAAACTCTTGGGTTTAACGACAACAGGTCAGCTATGAGAAAAATACGAGTTTACAGCAAAATGGTTAAAGTGTAATATTAAATACAAATGCAGATTTTATATGCACCTGGTCGGGGATGTCTACGACTGAGATTTTTGGCGTTTTTACTTGTGAATGTAGCCACGGCAGCTAACTAGCCTGTAGCTAACTAGCCTTATGTTGCGCCTCTCCGTCTATAACACGCGGATCAGAAACTTTCCTAATCCTAAAACGACTGTTTTGACCAGAGCCCGGTCTTATGTTCTCACAAGTTGCATATTTACATTTAAAAGCTTGTTAGATAAATCACGTAATATGTTTAGGTAAACAGCAGTCCGCTCTGTATATTGAATGAACGGGGTGGCTATTAGCCTGACTAGCAAGAGGCGACAATCACAACATGATTGATTTTTGTTCAGAGTTATCTGAGTATGACCCGAAAGCATTTAGTATATAAGTGTGTTGGTTAATAGACTACATTACTACAAACGCATACAACAAAAAAACTCACATACACATTTAAACTATAAACATGTGTAGTTTATACCGATATTATACCAATTTTAAAATATTCTTAGAGGCTATTGTTGACTTTTTGGTTCATGGGGAATTGCACTGCTGCACTGTTTGCAGATTTAAGATGGTAGAAATTCTGGGAAGATACAGAAGTGATCTGGATAAATACTGATTTTTAGCTGATTGTAATTTCCCTTGAAGAAATTGTAAAAATATTTTGAACCTAAATTGATTTGTTTTGGAAATAAATATATATGGTAAGATAGTTAATGTCTGCATCAGCCATGTTATTGAACATAGGTATGTATAAATAAGTCCCAGTGAAAAAGAATTAAAGCATACCTCCTTATCTCACTTTTGCTTGTTGTTTTTTATGGTACACCTGTATCTCTAAATGGGCACCATATTTCAGCAGTCTGCATTAAACAGCTCCACATAGAACTAACTGGATTTCACTAATTTTTCAAAATAAACAAAGAATGAAGTTGACTTTTTGAACTGTTTTTATATTGATGTTTTGCACAGTTTACTGAGTAAATCCATGTACAAAGCATTGCTAACTGTAAACATCAGTGTTTTCTGTATTCCTTTAAGAGATGTTGGGCCATTAGCTCAATTGATTGAAATTAATTTTTCAAACTACTGCCAGTGTTGCCTAAAACACAATTGTACATGACAAATAGAAGAAAGGAGCTTTGGTGTAATACTTACAGCTTAATAATTGTTGCTTAAATGCCAGCATGCATCTGTAGAAAACAAAGTTTCCTTATTGGAAGCCTTTGTTCTTCCTCTGACATCATCTTTCAGACTCTTCACTGATACTGAAAATGGCTAACCACCTTCACACATTTGCATTCTACGTATGGTGCAGCTCTAATTTTCTTTTTGTATTGTGCATTGAAGAGCTGCAGCTTGAAGCATTAAAATCCTTTACTTTATTGACCAGAATGGCGCAGCAGGCAGTGCGGTTCCGCAGCCCTGCGCCTGCCACTGCCCCCGCACCTACGCCAGCCCAGACCCCAGTTTTACGAGGGCCTCCGCCACTGCTAAGGCCACCGCCGCCTCCATTTGGCATGATGAGGGGCCCGCCGCCAAGACCCCCGTTTGCTCGACCTCCCTTTGACCCAAACATGCCGCCTATCCCACCACCCGGAGGCATGCCACCACCCATTGGACCTCCTCACCTCCAGGTGAATGTTTTACATATTTCTGCAACATTAGCACTTCTTTCTGTCATTGTGTATGCCATATTTCACAGTCATTATAACTGTATTACACCATGTTACATATTGATTTCATGCTATACGTTCGGAGAGCTCTTTGTTTTCCAACATCCGGCCACAGATGGAGCACATCGCTTTGTTATTCAGTTGATGCAAAATCTATTCATTTCCTATTTGAAGGGACAGTTGATGCTAGTTGCTTTTTCACTTTTTATATTCGGAGTTTAAAGCAATTGTAAAAATTATTAGAACAGTTGCAGGTAATTAACAGGTGTAGTTTTCTTAGTGTTTGTATTATTTTTAGTAGCAATTTTCAAAAAGAGAGAAGCAGTGAGTAGACATGAATAATGCTTTTTGTGCTTTCCTCTCTGTGAACCTAACAAGTTCAGCTTTTAGAAGACTTCACTCATCAGAGAAGGATATGACTTAGCATGTTTGATGATCTCTCTAGCTTTTGCAGTAATTGATTCTTTAATGCAGGGAGACTTTCTTTAAATGAGTCCATGACGCATCAGCCACTTTGAATTATTCTTGCAGGTTTTCTGTTTGCTACAAATGTATGTTTTGTTGTGATAGAAAGTCTGATAGCCAAATGCATTGTTGCATCTTCTTCTGCAGAGGCCTCCTTTCCTTCCCCCTCCCATTGGCAACTTGCCGCCTCCTCCAGGGATGCTGTTTCCTCCTGGGATGCCTCCTGTTCCTGCATCTGGAAACCCAGCTCTCAATCCCGCAGAGGAAATCTGGGTAGAGAACAAAACTTCAGAGGGAAAGGTAGGATGAAAACTCCCATCAGAATATTTTTTTTTCATTTATCTTGGAGGAAAGAACTTGATTGCAATTATATTCATAAGGGACAACTGCTTAACTCAAGCACAGATCCTTAGTCCGAACATTTTTGGCTGCATTCTCTTGAAAATGTTTGTTTTATGGTTAAACTTGCATAATAAAAGCTAAAATATACCTGTTCTGTAATAACAGTGAAAGATACATTCAGTTTTTGTAATCTACTGAGGTGATCATTGCTTTGTAAACCTGCAAAAGTAATGCTGGTGACAAAATCATAGTTTGAAAACAAATTGAGAGATCTTTTGCTGTAAAACAGAGTTTTACTCATTTAAAGTCAATGTAAATGAAATGTACACATTGAAAGGGCCTGTTTCTGTCCATTTCTCCAGATAATGTAGATCCCTATCTTGACTATAAAATGTTCAAAATGCTGCCAGAATATGTTTCCTATTAAGCATTTAAAATGTTTTAAAAAACATAAATACGTACTTTGAAGTGTTTGGAATATTTATTTAGCAAAAAAGGAGGGAGAAATTGACTTGAGGGAGTAAATAAAACAGGTTTAGCAGATTCCTACATTGCTGCTAAGCTTTTCAATAAAAGAAATAACTTTGTTTGATGACTTATTTCCTCCTCAGACATATTACTACAACGCTCGGACCAGAGAGTCATCATGGAGCAAACCAGATGGTGTGAAGATCATCCAGCAGTCTGAACTCAACCCTCTTCTGGTAGCGGGGGCTACAGCTGCAGGTTCTGGTGCGAACGTGGGTGCAACCGGACCCACTAGCACCAACAGCGGAAACACAGCTGCCAGCACGGCGGCGGCCTCCCCCACTCAGGCCCCGACCTCTACCCCGACCCACACGCTGACCTCGAGTCCAGACCCCATCACCACCCCCTCGCCCTCTGTGTCCATCGCAGGTAAGCAAATGTTCCTCGGCGCTCAGCGCCTCAGCGAACACGAAGCTTAAAGTGCCTTGTCGTTTTTGTCTTTCTTACCTCACAGCCACCGTTGTAGCAGACCTCCCCCCTGTTGCCACCGTGACGTCCACTGTTGCTGTGTCGCCGGTCACCGTGGTGACCGTTTCCACGGTGCCGTCCCCTGTCACGGCGGTCCAGACTGTGCCACTGCTGCCAGCAGCCTTGCCTCACAGTGTGGCCCAGCCCACTGCAGCCATACCTGCCTTCCCACCCGTCATGGTGCCACCTTTCCGGGTGCCTTTGCCAGGCATGCACATCCCTCTACCAGGTGAGAATGACACCTGCAGCTCAAAAGCTGCTGTTCTAATGAAACTGTGGTGCATATTTAATGATTTTTAATTTTAGGTCTTTATGGGCAAATTATAAATGTTTTTGTCTTGTTTGCAAGTGTTGCTTTGTGGCTTATTGTAGCAACCTCTAGTAGTGCAGCGTAGA